AAGAGCTAATAGCCTGGTGTCATTAATCTACCTGCTTTTACATGGAGCCTTGACCTATTAGGAGTTCTCTGCTTAGAAGAAGCCTTAGCTTTAACACACAGACTTGGTAGCTAAAAGATGTAACCTGCCAAAATTCTGATTAGTCAGTTTTCCCATATTGCTCTGGTAACTGTTTGTGGACTAGAGGGCTTCCTCAGGATCTGCCTTCTTCCGAAGCTTTATAAAAGAGCATGGCTAGCTGTGGGAATACGGGCATTTAGTAGGAGTGGGCCAGTGTCCAGGGTGCTTACAGATGTACTCCTGAACCCTCCTTGCAAACATTAGCAGAAGGACAGGTACATAATTACCTTGTTGAATGTATGATTGAAATAACTATGTGCTGTTAAACTGTTTGGCTTTCAGCTCCTGCAGGCGATCCAGGCTCCTTTTGAGCCTTTGTGTTGGAAAGGAAGGGCTGCTGCATTTTTGCAGAACATTTGGCTGAATTGCAACAAACCTGGTTACTGATGCCCAGGCATACTTTGATTGATGCACAGATCAAATGACTGTTGGGAGTGGCTTTTGGGGTGACGTCCCACGTACAGTGATGTCAGCAAAAGATTTTAAAAAATTCAGGTGTGGCATAATCTGCCAATTAAACTGATTAGTACTTTGGCTGAGTCCTGAGAAGGAGCTCTAGCTGTAGAGCCCTGCTTGTTAAAGTGCTTTATTTAGTCCTTTTGTCTCTCCTTTTACTAGACTTTTACTTAGTACCTTCACTGCAGCATGCTGTAAATTGAGGTAGGACACCATAGCAAGGACTATCTGCTAGCTTTCTTGCTGTCTGGGGAAGTCTACTACCAGCTCACAAATGTCCCTGACTGCTTGGAAGCTGTGACACTGGAATAGTCCTGCAACTCCTGTGGGATCAAGATGGAGTGCCTTACTGCTCTGTTGGCAGAAGTGAAAGCTGGCCAGGAGGCAATGCAGGCTGGACAGAAGGAACTAAAGCATGATGTGGAAACATCTCAAAAAGAAATCAGAATGGTGTTAGCACTGCAGAGAAGCGAGCAACAGGTGAAAGAAGATCTGAAAGCAGAGATTAAGTCTAGTCACTTGGATATAAGAACTGTTCTTGAGGAAATCCAGCGAGTAAGAGAAGAAATGGAAGCTCGATTAAATACTCAGGCTGATTTGGTCTTGCTGATCAAAGAAGTGAGCACCAATTTAACCTGTGTAGACAAGGCTTTCCAGAAAATGGAGGAGAGGCAGAAAGTTTTTACCAGCCTGCATTTTCCTACAAGAGAAGATCTTGAGCAAGGATTTTTCTTTGAAAAATGCTTACACAAGACGCACGTGGGTTTTGAAAAACCTGTGGAAGCTAACAGTTTGGATGAGGAATTTGAAAAGAAGGTGCTTAGGGGTAAGGCAATGGTGGCTGTGGAAGTGTGGAAAAGAGTTAAGATTGTTCTTACTTGTGCTTGTCAATCAGTTTATTTAGGCTATTTGGAATGCTTCTAGGAAATGTCATTTTTTAGAAATGTAATCTCTTGCTTAATGTCTATACTAGATGGAAATTATTTTCTTTACTCTACAGACCTTCCTAGTACATTATAAGCAAAGGAGAGCTTTGATTTGGCTTTGCAAACAAAAAAGGTGGGTGGTAGATGTTTCATCAGGTAGTCCAGCAACAGTACACAAGATAGGCTCAGGAAACCAGTGGTACCAGGCAAGTTCTGAGATAACCAGGCAAGTACGGTGTCAAATACTGGGCAGTACCCCAGGACTTAAATGTAACTTTATGGAATACACCCTAGTGTACAGACAGTTGTGTATTTCTTGCTTTCAAATGCCTGTTAACTAGGGAAGCTATGTATGGGGAACAGTTTGCTTTACAGAAAAGCTTGGAATGGCTTTGATTTTCTCCCCAGAAATTTGTAGTCAGCTGCTGCAATCCATGTAGTGACTGTAGAGGGAGTGGGAGGATTTTTAGACCTTTCTAAGCTCACCGGGTATCCTTTGATTAAAAGGTTTAGTCTTTGCAAAATCACTGCTATTTTAATTTATTTATTTTTTTTCCTCACTGTATGAAGGAGGATAGGACCATTGCATGATGATTCTGCCAAGTTATTGTGCTACATGTGGTACTTGAGAATCTGGTTTCTAGGTTGAGTACAATGTTTTCACATTTCACCTAGATTGAGTATGATGTTTTTGAGCCTGTTGGAGTGAGTCCAGACCATAACTTAAGGGTGCAAATTGTTCTGCTTTACAAGTCTGACTGTTTAAAGGTGACAAGTAAAACAGGCAAAGTAAGGAGGAATTGGGCTGGTAACCGATACTGCCTCTAATTTGAGTCCATCACTGATGTGTTCTATCAGTAATTAGGCTCATGATGCTTTTGTTTTAATGAAAGTGTAGCTTTTGTTTTGACATGACAGCATGCCACTGTACAAATCTGGAAACAGTCTGTCACTGCCCAGAGGTACATAGGCCATAAATAAGCATTGGAGTGTCACTGGTGTTAATCTGTAGAGGCAGTTCATGCTACAGAGGGTCCATGCTAGCAGAGAAATGCTTTTCAGCATTTCAAGTGGCTGTGTATAGCACATGTCTATGGTAAAACTGCCAACAGGAATGTCACTGAATTTCTTTAGTGCATGGTTTTTGTTCACTTTTTTTAGTATAGTATCCAGGGTTGGCTGGGTTAGATGTTTGAATGAGATTTGAGGAAGACTTGGTAGTCTGGCCACCATGATAAGAATAGTAGTATGAAACTGACAAACTGATAAAGGCTGGCTGAACTTGGGAAACAGTGGATATCTGGAATCTTGTGTCGTTTTGGTTAGCTGTTTTATGACTATTAAAATGAAATAACTTCATTTGGTAACAGTATGTGATGTAATTTTGTCCGAGAATAAAAATTGCCTGTAAATATTTGTTCAAGTTTAACACAGTTCCATCAGGGACCTATAAATGGATGTGGAAGTCATTTCATATAATTAATTAAATTATTGCACTAGCATTTGTATCAGTTAATTTACCCAGTAGCCTTAAATTAAGAGTGCTCTAGTTCTCTACTTATTGTAAGTGAAGCATTCAGGAAGGGAGGTGGAGAGAGTAGGAGTATGAGAGCCAGTAGGGCAGGGAAGGACTGACTGTACATGTTTATTCTTCAGTCCGTGCTCTTTTTTTCCTCTCTCCTTGATTATTGTCTCTTGTGATTTTTGGAGGAGGTTCAGAAGGTAACCAGTATTTTCCTAAACAGTGTTCTCCATAAGATTGCCAGAAATCTGACACAGTTGCTCTCAAACGTGAACTGACATGCAGTTAGAGGTCTGCTTAAGGGACACTTACATCTGCACTGCAAGAAGAGAAGTGGCCATGTTAGGTAGGTTGGTAGTAAAAATAAACTTAGTGGAAGTGGCAGCCACACTTGAACTTTCTTTCCCGTATAGATTTGTATTTTGATTTGGGTTATCATGTTGATATACCTTTTGACTGTTATACTACTAAACTGCAATACATTTCTAATTGAAAATACGCCCTTTAACCATCACCATCTCTGCACAGAAATGTAGTGAAATCTCAAAGAATAAAGAGCATCTGAACATGATAGAGAAATGTGCTGATGATTCTCTAACTGTGAAGGATAATAGAAAATCTTGCCTAGAGAGGATTTATTTAGAAAATTGATGGACTCAGTAGGCACTTTATACCTGGCTAAGTAAGGGATACACAGAGGACATCAGTATTTTGAACAGGAAGCTTGTTTTCAAATGCTTTGAAAACAAGTGAAGGCAGTGCAAGACTGATATTTTAACTGCGTCAGTCAGACTAAGAATGAAAGCTTTTGTTATTTCGCACTGTCTCCAGTTGTGCGATTGAACCTTACACTGCTGGGACTATTTCAGTCACTTGACAAAATTTAAACCAGATGCGTGGGCTTCAGAAATGATTCATAAGCAACTGCTTCTAGTTGGTTGGTGATTAGTTTGTCCCCCATTTTTTCTGCATGTTCCTAATTTTCTTTTCTCTAAATTTCACCTCAACTTTTTTCACTTTATCTTGAAGAAATCTTGTCAAGTTAAAACTGTATGGAGTAATCTGCTTAGATGTCTTCATTAAATTGCCAAGGGATATTTATGTATTGCATCAGTCTTTTATTGCAGAAGTGTTTGCTCGTTCCCCATATGATCAAATGGGGCAGACTGGCCCTATCTGCACAGCACTGCTGTACTCCCTTCCCAGTCCAAAGGCAGCAGAGAATCCTGTAACCACTGTGGTGTTTACGAGTCAAGCAGTGGGTTATGTAATGTGGTTTCCTCTGACATGAGATGATTGTGTGCTGTGGAGGGATTGAGCTTGCAACATACCTAGGAATATTAAATCAACTGTGTAATTCTTGGACTGTGAATAGTGGCAGGACCAACTTGAAATAGATTATATTTATAAGCATTTTTTAAAGCCTTATCCTTGTGACTGAAATTGCTGACAGTAAGAAATGCTGCAAGACCTCCAGTTAATGCTGCTCAAACCTGAACAGAGAGGGGAGTTTTTGCAAAGGGAATTTTGAAAGGAAGAAAAAGACCACATAAATGTGGGGGTAAATCGTTTTGTATTCAGCAATACCTTAGAGTGCTGGAAATCAACGTACAAACAGAAGTGGTCAACTCTGATGTTAGAAATAAGTTACTGGGTAGGTAGGATGACAGACTTTGCATTTTATGAAACTATTTATTCAAAACACAATGTGAAAAGTATCCTGAAAAGTAAGCCACAGACTGCATGAAGGGGATGATGAAATGCAAAACCTTGTATACAGGGTTATGGTGTGAGAAATTAACGTGGCAGATGATAGCGTCTGCTCTGCAGTGCTACTGAAATAACCATTTCTCCTAGACAGTATTTTAGGAAGTGCTTATAAGAATTTATAACTACTTTCCTTTGCACCTGTCTCAAGTTTTTTTGTGAAACTTCAACATAAAATACATATTAATTTGTTGTTGCTGTTGTTTTAGTTGACAAAGGCAAGGAGCGAAGTCCCAAGAGCTCATGCATACAGACTCAAGCAGTCACAGATGTGCATTTGCCTGGCACGAAAACAGCTGAGTTGACACATTACAAAACAACATGTGAGACCCAGAATGGAATCATCCTGCAGCTGAAAAAACTCCTCACAAGCAGTAACCTGAAGTTTGAAGCATTAACAGTTGTGATCCAGCACCTGCAGTCTAAGGTAAAAACTCAGATGAACATTTTTGCCTTTAATTTTTTTAACTCCTCACAACAAGGGCTTCTGAAAATATCAATATACCAATAGCCAACATCTGTGTGCTCCATTCCAATGATTTCTCTTTTTTTCTGTGGAGGTAGTAGTAAATCTGCTTCTGACATCAGCTGCATAGAAAAAAATCAAAACCCTGACACTGGGTTTTGTGTTCTCTTTGCCGCTTCACATTGGTTTTAGAAGAGAAGTTTTTTTAATGTGTTGTAGTCCTTCAGGGTTCAGTAACCTTCCAAATAGTTTAAGTTCTGCCCTTGTAGGAGAGACTAGTTTCAACACATTGTCTGCATGACCTTTCTTTCTTATCTGAAATTGGATAGAGAAGTATATAAGAGGTAGACATGTTTTTAAACTATTCTGAATAAAATGTGAGTTACAATGATTGTATTTACTGAATCCTGCATTATTGGTGGAGTCTTGAAAATTTTCATTTATTTTTTTTAAAAGGAGAAATTAACCTGATATGAGTTAATGATTATTTGTTCTCATCTGTTTGGAGTACATAGTGACCTGATAGGTTTGATAATACGCTTTTGGTCTGCTTGGAAAACTTCTGAGAGAATTAAAATCTGAAGTTAAGGCAATTATAATACTTACAGATTTAAACTGCAACATTTGATGTAGACTTTAATAGCAGTTTCTCTTATTTGTAACTGATGTTCCAAGATTGGTAACAACTTTGTTTCAGCTTTTTTGATGTATGTTCATTTTTATAGTGTGGTATACAAAAAAGTGCTGATTTGTCTTAGTGTGCTGCCAGAGATGTAACATTCTTTTCTTGTTGGTTAATATCTACTTTCATTTAATCTAAAAATACTGCATTTAAGTCCAAGTTCTGGTTCAACTCAGTAAGAGCAGTGGCTCTTAGCCAGTTTAGTGGGTTTGGTTTTGTAGGGTTTTCTAAACTCTTGTTTGGAACACCTTTCTCTGCTGAGGAACCTAGTTGACGATCTTCAAATAAATTTGGCATAGGATTCTCAGAAGCCTATCATCTACTATAAAATTGTGACATTTATATGTGGAATTCTCACTGCTAAACTTCTGTGCAATCTTCTAATGACTGTATAACAAGCACCTTGATTTTTGGAAATTTTAATAATTAAGTATATTGGCCTAGATTCTTCTCTTAATTATTTTGAATTGCAACTTTTGAAAATTCACTAATATTGTATCAATGTCATATATAATGAGAAGCATGCCATACATAATTGCTTCTTCCAGGCTATGTTACAGGTCACTAGTCTAAACATGATTTAGTTAGTTTTTTAAAAAATGGGAATGCTTGTTTGTTATTTTTAAAAGGAAAAGGAAAGAAGTGCTTTGGAAGGTGGAGGGCAGAGAGAATGGAAACTAGTAATTTTGTTCCTTCTTCATTTTACTTTTGTAGATGGAAAGAAAAAAAAGGGTTTTTTCTATCAAATTTTATAAAATGAGTAAACATTGAGAGTTAAGTGTAAGCTCAAGAAACTGTGCTAAATATAACATACTGATGTACACCAGTTATTAGTTATGAGCTTGTTTTGTCCTTTCCCAGGATAAGACAATGCTTACTGAGGAGTTGCTGTCTTACTCTTGAGTACTTACCATAGGAGTGAGAGGACTCTTCTGCCATGATGGTGTAAGGAATACTTAAAATCTGATAGTAAGCTGGGGGAAACATCTGATAGGATTTCTGTGTTTTAGGGAACACTCTAGAGTTGTTTTGATTTTGTGGTTTATTTTGGTTTTGTTTGTTGGTTAGGGTTTTTTCCTTTTTGGTGAGGTGTGGAGTTTGGTATAGCTAAGTATATCTCAACTGGCCATATGTTTATTTGTCTGAAGTATCTCTTAAGGACTTCATCAGTGTAGTTTTTTAGACTCTGGGTAAGCTTGGAGAAAAGTGCCCATAGCTTAACTACTGCAGAGCCAACTGAAAGTAGCTTAAGCTTTTCTGATTTAAAAATAAATAAATAAATAGAAAATCATGTCTAGCTGATTATATGAAGAGCAAAGCTGTGCTTTCATTCCTTCCAGTAGAGCAAGTGTGAAGTGACACAATGCAGTGTAAGCTGATGAAAACAGCTTGCTGTTACCCTGCTCTGGATTCCTGGTGCTGGTCTGTCACTGCAGGAGGCTGATTCAGCTTGCAACTACCAGAAAGCTAACCCATCTGAAGAGGAGCATTTCTTTGCCACTTCAGCAACGTGGACTGTCCTAATGTGTGGTCAGAGCCAGTGCGAGAGTGAGACGGGGTCTCTTGGCCAAGTGGAGAAAAGGGCTGGAGTGAGCTGTTTTGCAGCCTGGCCTGAACCTCCTGGCTGCTGGGTTAGTTTGGGTTTGCTTTCCTTTTTTATTATTTTATTTATTCCCTTCCCCCCCCCCCCCCAAGAGGTCCCAATGCATTTCCACACAAAAGGTTGCAGTTGCTTCTTATGAGCTCATTTGAAATGGGATAGCTGTAAGTGAAATCAGGACTTCATGACCATGACTTCTGTCAAAAATGCAGCCAGCCTATCTGGAGTCAAGTTGAAAGGCTGTTGTTGAAGGGTTAAACAAGATTGAGTAATGCTGCTGTGCTGTTTCCAGCCCAGCAGGA